CCAAGGGCCCCATCGGCGGGCGGAGGGTATGGGAGTCCCGCGTCCTCCCGGCTGTGGGTGTTGCTGGGAGAGGAGCCAGTGAGACTGCAGGAAGCACAGGCGGGCCCCAGAGGGGCTGCAGCCCGGGAGGGGTCAGGCTGGGGCTCTGATAGAAGCAGGACAAGGTGACCGACCAAGTTAGCCCCGAGTGTGGCGCATGCCTGTGATCCTAGCCCTCGGGAGGCTGAGGCAGGAGGATCTAGGCCACCCTGGGCTCTCTAGTGAGACCCTGTTATAACACCACCCCCACCCCATCACCCCCCACGAAATGAAACGGATCAAGTGTGAGGGGCTCTGATTAGACAGCAGGGGGGACTGGGACTGGACACAGCTGCCCAATCGAGTTCAAGCTTGCTGGTTTCAGGTGGCAGCAATGAGGGACACAGCACGGGGGCTGGGCCAGGTGGCGTGGGCTCCTGCTCACGAGTAACGGGTGGGCCAGGCCACCTCAGGATCCCATCCTGGGAGAGGGGCCCTGGCCAGGGCACAGTGAGAGCCAGCACAGGGCCCGGAGTCCCCGGGTCACAGAGGGGACCAAGAGAGACCAGCTTGCTGGCCCTTCGGACAGGGCCAAGCAAGAGCAGGACAGGCAGGGCGGCTCTGGTCCTGGCCGAGTGCACTGTGCTGTGGGTGAGCAGATGTTTTCATGGAGGAGAAAGCCTAGCTGGGGGACCCTTGTGAGGTGACACTGTGGGGGTCCCCTGGGGCCACACAGACTTCTAGAATAGCCGGTAGGGGCTGTTCTGAGATCTGACCACTGGTGTAGAACAGCTTCAGACCACGCTCAGAGATGTGGGGACCCGGATGTGGCAGAGCAGCTTGAGATCCCAGCCCTGGGAGGCTGAGGCAGGAGGATCGCTGCAAGTTCGAGGCCAGCCTGGGGTACAGAAGGAGACCCTGTCTCAAAAAAAAAACCAAGAGGTGGGGGACAGCAGGCAGGGGGCATGTAGGCTGGGGAAGCAACTGGGAGATCGAATCCAGGGTCCTGGAGGAGTGGGGTGATGTAGGGCAGGCGTGAAGACAAAGCCCAGGGACACCGAGGCACCCCGTCCCCTCCCGGGGAGGCCAGGAGGCCCGGGTGGCTCAGGCGGCCCAGTTTAGAGCCTTGAGCTTGTGATCGGGTGGGCCGGGAATCTTGCGGAGCAGAGCATTTGCCTCAGCTGAAGACCTCGCTGAGGAACAGCTCGGCTCAGACTGCCCTTGGGCTGCGCCCCGCGCAGTGACAGTGACCTTGTCGGTCTGCCAGGTGAGACCTGAGGTCTTGTGGGGTGGGGTGGGGGTGCGGGCATTATGGAGGCCCAGCTCAGGGCCTTCTGGTGCCCTGCAGTGTCCATAAGGTCTGTTTTGTGGTACTGATTGGGGCTTGAACCTGAGGCCTTCATTCTCAGCTCTGTCACCAGCCTTTCTGGTTTTTTTGAGACAGGGACTCACTATGTAGTGAGACTGACCTGGAACTCACTACGTAGCCCAGGCTGGTCTCGAACTCACAGCGATCCTCCTGCCTCAGCCTCCCCAATGCTGGGATTACAGGTGTGCGCCACCACGTCTGGCTCTGTTTTTTATTCTGAGACAAGTTCTCACTAAGTTGCCTGGGCTGAGTTTGAACTTGAGATCCTCCTGTCTCAGCCTCCCAGAGTGCTGGAATTGCAGGCATGTGCCACCATGCTTGGATTAATAGTATCAGTATCAGTAACAATAAGAAATGTCACGGGCCTTTTGTTCTAGGTAGTGTGTGAAAGCTTTTATGTTCGTTTGCTTAGT